GCCGCCCCCTCGTCCACACATGTCAATATTGTGTGGAACGCAGGGTTGTTCCGGCTTGCGCTCCAGCTGACGGCAACGTGTGAGAGCCAGACAGTCCGCGTCTGCGCAATGCATCCGATTGCCGCAATCAAAATCTCTGGCCAATACGGACCGAGAAAAGAATAAGGGCATGCAGAAACACTGATGACTATGTGTCCCTGCGTAGTGGCGTGTTTCTGCATGCCCTTATTCTTTTCTCGGTCCGTATTGGCCAGAGATTTTGATTGCGGCAATCGGATGCATTAGTGTAAAACTGTTTTAATAAAAGGTAAAATACATCTGAAAATGTACTTACAAACGACTGATAAAAACGAGCATTGAAAGTGATGATCTCGAGTTAATCAAGATGGACAAACGAAAAAACGGAGTGAGAAATCGGAAGTACTAGTTTTGAGCCAAAGCCATTTGTACACTAGTCTTCCTCCGCTTAACGCGTTTCAGAGGTCGAACCCCTTTAGTCAGAACCTGATTTCTTCGTTTGTCCATCTTGATTAACTCCGGATAATCACTTTCAATGCTCGTTTTTATCAGTTGTTTATAAGTACATTTTCATGTATTTTACTTTTATTAAAATAGTTTTACACTATGAGGCGCTCCTTTTGCTTTGTTCCTAAGAGATAACCGGTTTGCCCTGACTGTGAGGAGCTGCCCCTGAGTGTTTGGAACTGTGTTTGAGAGCTGTCACGTCTTTTGGCGCCAGTGATATTTTAATCTGTGTATTTTATATAAACGTTTTCAATTAGATCCTTGTAGATTTGAGTACTCTAAAATATTTTTTGATATACCAATAGTGTACCTTTAAAAAAATTACTTTTGTATTCCTGTGCCTTTTCACTATAAATGTGTGAACAAACCGCTTTATGATTAACATAAAATATTTTACAACTAATCCTTTGATCTGCTTATATTTATGATACAGATTGACGCACCCTTGCATTTACATTTGGTAATTACTATATGTAAAGTGTTGCTATATTTTTTTTTTACTATAGAGAATGCATACCTTACTTTAATTGTCACCCATTAGCTCTGCAGAGTACATCTACATCACATAGGGAGCCCTACAAACTCCTCCTCCCTGTGCCTCAAGAGGTCAAAGATCAGGATGCCAGGTAATGATGTCACTCAGACTTTACAGAAATGTTTTAATAAATAGGAGAAAGGTAAGTGAAAAAACAATGGTGTTCTATAGAGAGGTGAGGACCAACTGATACAAAAAAATTAGACATGCCCAGAGAGGTGCTTTAATATTCTTAAAAACTAAATCACATGCTGGCTACTCCCGATACCTGTGCCTGTGTCCTGTATTCCTTCTCCTGCGCTGTATATAGATTGTTTGGTTTGTATATCACTACTAGATTGTACGTTTGGTTAGGTTTTGTCTCTTTATATCACATGTGTTATTTACTATGTATTGGTTGCTTTAGTCTAGTGCTCCAATCGAGTGACTTTGCTTAGCCTGTAATTATGTCACCGTTCTTCTGCAGGCAGGAGGAAGCATTTCCTCAGTCTCCTCCTTCCCAGTCATCAGAGATCAACATTGTAACTTTTAGCAAGTCAAAAGTTGTAAAGCTGCAGCAATGGCTGATCTATGTCAAACTTTTGTGAAATGAAGGCATTATCAGTGGGGGTGCATTATTTTTGTGAGAGGTAATAAATGCCTGGAAATGCTACATTTATACATTATTCATCATGTATGCACTTAGCACGAAAAGGCAATCTAATGCTAGGTTGACTTGAAACAAGCAATTGATTTAAAAAAATATGCTATGGTATTTAAAATGTACAAAGTAGATATTTATGAAGTGTGTGTGTGCTTGTATCTTCATGCAGACTCCATATTGCAGTTTAAAACAACGAGGCTTTCTTATTTAATATGCAGAGAGTTGAAGTTAGACACAATCATTTAGATTAATTTTATTCAGCAATATATCAGTGTATCAGAAAAACAATGGAAGATGCAAGACTTAAATGAGTAGAGGGGAAGAGGAGATGAAAAATTTAAACAGAGTAAATCCAATATATTCTAAGTCATCCACTAAAAAGCATGGATAATAGCCATGATATGCTCAGCAGAATTAAATAGCATCATTACGGCTGAGATTAGTTTTCTGTGAGTATATAAAGTACAAAAACAGCAGTTACACATCAGTAAATAAGAGGATGAACAATATAATATCCAACTTGTTTTAAAGTTTTTTTCCCCACTTTTGCAGCCAAATTTGGAACCACATATTTGATAAGTGTTGCATGTTCCCATTCACATTAATAATGTATTACTGTTAAGGAGGGGGGGGGGGGGGGTCGGGGTGGGGG